GTTTTAGTTTTTTTGGAATGTCACATTAATACCTGCCACATTAGAACATCACATCATACCTGTCACATTAATAGAACGATATAGTTGTCTACCAAAACACTACCAAAATAAAAAAATAGGACTATATGGAAAGAAACTCTCCACTAATAGGACTTAATAGATCAATAGAAAAAATTTGAGGCTAATTGTAATACTTGTATGTGTGATGATATTTATTGGTAAATATCCCAATTAATTATGTAGAGTAATAATTTTTTTAATATCCATTTTGAATTATACATATATATTATACATAGGTATATCAAATTTAAATTAAATATAAATATTTTGTAATAAATAATTTCATGTTAAATAAAAAAATAAATATTAATTAATATTAAGACATCAATAAGACATAAAAAAATTTAAAAAAAATAAAAGAAAATTAATTTGATCTATACGATGCACATAATTAAGCACATTCTGTCTTATTAATTTATATCGAGATAAATTTTTTTTTTCAAATATCATAATAATTAAATTATAATTATATATATGGAAAGTAAGTATTACCAAATAGAATCCATATAAAATTGGTTGTTATAATTGAAAGTGAGTTCGTGCAGAACTTTATATGTAAAGGCATGTTGATGTGACTTTTTTTTTTTTATAAAAAAAATAAGCTCTTAGAATGTACCACATAAGAAAAGGAAAAACACTACTTTTATATGTCTATATATATGATAGCTATGTAAGCTTCATGGTAAAGTTAAGTTTTATGTAATATAATTCAGTTTCTTCAAAATTTTCTCTTCCTTGTGGATTCAATGTTTTATTTTCTCATGGATTCAAGAGCCATTTTCGTCTACTAGAACGATATCTAGTCCCCCATATATTATGCCGTGTATTCCACTGCGTCAAGTGGTATCAAAGTAAGGATTCGTTGGCTCGATGGCATTCATCGATGTAGGAAGCACAAGCCCTATTGGCGATTAATAGGATGGAAGCCATATGTGATGCGGTTGAGGAACATCGATCGGCTAGAGGTACAGAAAATTCCAATGAGATTTGTAATCTATTTGTCGAATTGGGACTAGTCATCAAACTGTGTCAACCAACAACTAACAGCGTTCGCACCGAAGGATTTTCCCGTGGTCAACCTGTTTGCTTACGTGTTTTTGTAGAAATTTCATAATTCAACAATTTAAGTAAGTTTCAAAAAGAAGATTTTCTTGATTGGTTGCTTGATCTTAAAATTTTCTTTGAATACGTGAAGATTCCTCATGAAAAGAAAGTTTTGTTTGCATCCTACGAACTTGATAAAATTGTATTGAAGTGGTGGAATGGATAACAAGATTATCGAGTTCGCGAAGGTAAAGACAAAATTCGTTCGTGGTTAATAATGAAAAAAATTTAAGCAAGAAAATTTCACTTTCATGATCATTAAGATATATTGTCATATAGGAATCAAGATACTCCCATGGAGTTGATAAAAGTTTGCAATGAAATTGTAGTTGCAAGAGAAAATATTTGACATCCTAATATTGTTTGTGGTGAGAGTACTTGTAAAACTAATGAAGAAGATTTAAATGCTTGAGAAGAAGTTCTACAAGGAGATCTTGATAAAATTGGAGAAGAAATTTCAACCGTATATCATGAAGAAAATCAAGACAAATCAGAGATTGTTAAAATGATTAAAACTTATGCCTCCAAATTGGAAATTACTTCAAAGGAGAAAGCTACTCAAGTTGAAAATTTTGCCATAAAAAGTGAAGATTAATCAAAGGAGAAGATTTTAAAGATCCAATATCCAATAAAATTACACAATTCAGTTCATTCACTGATGGATGTTAAGGAATGAAGAATTGATTTTATTGGTGTCGAAAGTTTTAATGTGATTTTCAACCTACATTTGATTGATCTTGTTAATCAATTGAACATTAGCTTTAAAGGAAATTTCGCACAATATAGACATCCAATTTTTTACTAACCTTAAGACTTGGGCGCTCTCTTTTGACTTCCTAATGATGAAGATGAGATGTGTTAATCTTACAAAGGCCTTAGCAAGAAGCTTAAGAATCAAGCTTTAAATCCTCCAAATGCCTGTTTTGGACAAAATGTTCTTCGACCAAAAACCACTTTCAAAATGAGTTTTAGCAGTGCAATTCTAGACATTACCACAATGTTTTGAGCTCAGAGCATCTCCAATGGATGGCTAAATCAGCTGCCAAAGCCATAATATAGCAGCTTGGGAAATCTTGGCTTCTCCAATGTCATGCTATAACAGGTGCCAAATTTGGCAACTGCCAAATCTGCCAAGTCACCCAAAATTAAACTGTTTTCTTTCTTCCTTCCTTCCCTCCTTCCCTTTCAGTTGGGATTTTCCAAAATGCATGAAGTTTTATATAAAAATATTGAACAAGAATGAACAAGAATTCATCAATATTCATCAATATTCCAGAATTCATCAATATTCAGCAAATTCATCAAATTCATACCAAAAACAGATTTAAAAAGATTTCATCAAATTCATACCAGAATTCATTAATATTCAATAACAGATTTAAAAAATTTCAGGAAAACGAACATAAATAATCTGAAATTAATTTCTCTCTCGGAGATTTAATCTGAAATAATCTGAAATAAAAATTAATCTGAAATAATCTGAAGAAGAAATTAATCTGAAGTAATCTGAAAGATTTAATTCTGTTTCCCAGAACCTATGTATATATATATATATAAAAATTAATCTGAAGAATTGTAGATCGAGGATGAATAACTAATCTGAAGAAGAAAGTTAAGGCATTCGTCTCTCTCTCTCTATGTATATATATAAATTTGCCTCTGATCTTGTAGGAGATCGGGGCTGAAGAATTGGAGCAGGTTGGAAATGGTGAGAAGTGTGAAAAGTCACCACAAATTTGATGATCTGACACTGAAATTAGACGGGAAGAGCACTGATCAGAAGACGAATGCGGTTCGCTCGAAGCATTCGGAGACAGAGCAGCGTAGAAGGAGCAAGATTAATGAGAGGTAATCTCAAATAATCCAAGAAAAATACCTGATCCGAGGGTTGAAGTTCACTGATCCGAAGTTCATCTTCACTGATCCGAGGGTTGAAAAGGGTTGGAAGTTCATCTTCATTGATCTAAAGCTGATCCGAAGTTCATCGAAAGCTATCTCCCTCTGATCTTCGCCCATCCAAAGCTCTGATCTTCCCTCTGACCTTCCCTCTTCCCTCTGATCACTCATTCGAAGCTCTCTCTCTCTCTCTCAAGTTTCGAAGCTCTCAAATTGTTAAGAGTAGATGTGTAAACTTTCCTAAAGTTTATTGAACTTCGAGGCTCTCCAAGTGTGAACTTCGAGGCTCTCCAAGCTCTCCAAGTGTTACTTTATTCATTAAAAAAAATAAAAATTAAATAAAAACATAATTGAAGCATATCTACAACGGCTATAAAAAAACGGATGAATACAAACCGGCTATAAAAAAAAAGACTCTTTTTTATGTTGAAACGGATATAAAAAAAAAAACGGCTCTTTTTTTTCTATAAAAACAAACCTTCTCTACTCTCTTTTTACTCAATTTCATTTCACAACAAATTTTTTAAATTACATTTTTATTTATATTTTCTTTACACAATCGGTATGGATGGTTCATCAAAAATAAAGAGAGGAAAATCATTCACCATTGCTGAAGATATGGCACTTTGTAATGCTTGGTGTCACATTTCTGAAGATCCAATTATTGGCAATTCACAATCTTATACTCACTTTTGGGGGAGAATTTATGAAAATTATTGCTCCCTTCAGAATGATCAGTCAAGAATTCAAGTTTCTATCCAATCTCGATGGGGTACAATCATGAAATGTTCTAACAAATTTCGTGGATGTTTAGCGCAAGTCGAAAATCTACACCCAAGTGGGATGTCTCAAGTTGATCTAGTAAGATTTCATTTTCATTTATTACGTTAGTTTTTTATTTTATTTTATTTCGTCTCATATAAAAATTAAATAATTATTTTATCTAGTAAGATCTCATATTTTATTTTTATTTATTTTATTTTATTGATACTTACTTAATTCAATATTGATACAGATGCTTCAAGCAAAACTTTTATACCATCAAGATGAAAAAAAACATTTTGCTTTTGAACATTGTTGGTCAATCTTGCAAAATAATATAAGGTGGCAAGATGTAACTCCTACGAATACGGTGAAGTCAAGGATACATACACCATTTCCCCCGATTCAGCCCCCGATTTCCCGATGGATAATTGCATTTCTCTTGAAGATGACACCAGTCCAAGTGTTGGTAACAATCCAACTGTTGGTGAGGGCAGTGTCTCTGCAAAGGGTAAAAGGCCGATGGGTAGGAAATCTACAAAAGAATTATTTCGGAGAAATCAAGTCATTGAAACTGAAGTCCAAAAAATGAGTACACAATTAGACACATTTAACCACCACCTTGCTGAGAAAGAAAAGAAAAAAGAGGAAAGAGAAGAAAAAAGGATTCAAGCACTACAGCAGATGAAAGAACTTGAGATGCAAAAACATGAGTTTGAGATGAGAAAGGAAGAACACCAAATAATGGCTACAGACATTTCTCATTTGGACCCTCAGATGAAAGCGTATTACACAATGCGAAAAAATGAGATTTTCGCCAAGTGGTCCTCAAATATGAGCAACCCAAATTTTTATTTCCCCTACCTCCTGATGAATAATTACGGGATCAATGTTAGTCTTTATTTTTTGCAATATCATTTATTTTTTATGTAATTGTTAGTCTTTATTTGTAATGTAATTTTTTATTTTGTAATGAAATTTCATGTTGTTTTAAGAAACATTTTTGAGTATCTTGTACTTCACAATGTAAAAAAAGACATTTTATGAAAAGATATTAACTGACATTAAAAGACATTGTAAAATAAAAAGACATTAAATGAAGAACATTTTATTAGAATAAAAAGACATTAACTGATAGTAAATGACATTAACTGTCATTAAAAAGATAAAATGCAAACTTAATCTAACTCTCCAGCTCGAGACCACAAGTGTTCAATTAGATCATTGCGAATTACATTATGGGCTTCAACAGATCTAATCCTTTGCCGATTCAACATAAATTGAGAATACTCCTCATTCGGATCGCGTGACACTTGACAGCCCAAATTACTGGTATCAGTCTTAAGTTGTGCTGCACTGCGTTCATTTTCTGGAATATCACGCTCCTCTTCAATGATCATGTTGTGCAAAATAATGCACGTCTTCATGATGTAGTACAAATCCTCATTACTCCAACCTCTAGCTGGCACGCTGACAATATTAAATCGTGCTTGGAGCACTCCAAATGCCCTTTCAACATCTTTCTGACATGCCTCCTGCATCCTCGCAAATAGTTGTCTCTTTACGCCTTCAGGTTGAGATGTTGTTTTCACAATCGTTGCCTAACGAGGATAGATACCATCAGCAAGATAATATCCCATGGTGTATGCATGATTATTGATGGTGTAGTTGGCAGTAGGGGCACGTCCTCTAGTTAATTCAGCAAATAAAGGCAACCTGTCAAGAACAGTAATATCATTTAGAGAGCCAGGCATACCAAAGAAAGCATGCCAAATCCACAAGTCATAGGAGGCAACTGCCTCGAGTACAACTGTTGGTTTGTGATAGTGTCCAGTGTAAGCACCAGCTTGGGCACTTAGACATTTATCCCAACGGCAGTGCATACAATCCAAACTCCCTAACATTCCAGGAAACCCGCGTTGCTCTCCCTCTTGCAATAATCTGGCGATGTCTGCTTCATTTGGAGATCTTAAGTAAACGGCTTCATAAGTAGCAACAATTGACCTGGTAAAAAAATTTAAGGCGACAATTGCAGTATTTTCACCAATTCTAATGTACTCGTCTACAGCATCAGCTGGCACGCCGTATTGGAGGATCCGAAGTGCTACAATCATCTTCTGTACACCGTATAATCTAGGAGCACCAGTGGCACCATGGGTTTGGATGAAGTACTCATTCACTTGTTGAATATCGTGTAAGATACTAACAAACAATGACCGCCTCATTCGAAAACGTCTTCAGAAGTATTCTTCTGGATAGATAGGATTATCTGCAAAATAATCTCTATAAATTTGTTTGTCGCCTTTGACCCTCTCACGATTAATGTATCGACGACCACTTATGGAACCAACACGTTTGGTTTGTTGGTTTAGGCTTAACATCTGTAATCTTTGTTGTTGCGCTGTGAAAAGTTACATCATGATGATATCATCATCAGATGATGAAGATTCATCAAAATCTCCATTTAATATGGCTTTACTCAAATTGTTCATTGTAGGTGGATGGGTGAGTAGGTGAATATGAAAATTATAGAAAATCTTCTTGGTGGGTACAGAGAGTTTTGAAGATATGAAAATAATAGGCAGGTGAATATGAAAATTGTAGAAAACCTTATGTTATATTTATAGAGAAAATTGTGAGTGGGTGAATAATGGATGGTTGTTGGGTGGGTGGATGAATAATGGATGGTTGTTGGGTGGGTGAATGAATAATGGGTGGTTGTTGGGTGGGTGGATGAATAATAGATGGTTGTTGGGTGGGTGGATGTGAGTGAATGAATGCTGGGTTAATAATGGATGGTTGTTGGTGGTTGGTTGTTGATGGGTAATTGGTGACTCTTTATTTTTTATGTGTAGTTAAAAAAATTTATTAAATATGTAGTGATATGTTTTTTGGTGGGGTGAATAAATCAAACAATATTTTTTTTTTCCAATTTTTCATTTTTTTTAATTTTTTATATTCGTCTAGTTGGGAATAAAATAAATATATAATTTTTTTAACAAACAGATAAAAAAATGTCACAAAAGACAAAAAATAAATAAAAATAAAATCACAAAAAACCTATATCCAAACAACACCTGCAAACTTGGAGGGAAAGTTGGTTGAGATTTGCCAAAAATAGCAAATGACCATTGGAGCACCATTGCTATAATTTGGCAAAATAACACTATTCATTGCCAAATTATAGCAATAGCAACCCCAATATAGCAACAACCATTGGAGATGCTCTAAGAGCCACAATGTTTGGTTGAGTACCAGAAAAAATACACTCATTCCTATACTTCCACACTGACCAAATCATAGCTACTGGTAAAGCTCTCCAAATCTGCCTCTCTTTCTTTCTAAATTTCCAACTCATCCACCATTCCATCAAACTTTCCACAGACCTAGGTAAAACCCAACACAATCCCCACCAATCCAAAATACTTGACCAAACTTGCCACACAAAGGGGTACCAAAGCAAGATATGGTTTAATGCCTCTGGTTCAGATTTACAAAATGTGCAAGATAGATTAACATTACTCCTTAACACACCAATTTTACGTAGGAAAGCCAATGTTTTCATCCTGCCTTTCCAAGCTAACCATGTTATAAAATTAGCTTTGGGTGGAAATAAAATTATTCTAAATCAAAGATGGTGACCCCATTTCAGGTCCTCATCATAATTCACAACTCTTATACACATTACACACCTTGAAGACATGAATCACCCCTCAATTATCCTTCCAGAACCAGATCCTAAAATCATTCCCAATCCTAATTTCCACATTCTCTACATAGAAGCTATGCAGCCTAGAATTAGACAGAACCATATTCAGGAATGTCCCTCCAAACAGTAAAGACATTAGCAGAAGCAATAATTGATGGCAACCATCTCCTTCATGATGATCCATAAAAGAATATTGAGGTGTTTTGAAGTGGTTTCTGGTTTAAGGATTAATTTCCATAAAAGTGTTACTTATGGGATAGGTGTGAAAGAGGAGATGGTCTCAGAATTTGCTACGCTGCTTAGTTGTCTTAGTCAGAAAATCATAAAGTGATATCCTATCCTCAACCTTTACATTTCTTTTATTTTATGCACACAATGATTCAATGTTTGTGTCACTTTCTCTATCTATCTATCTATCTATTATTCTCACAGTCTAGTGCCTTGTCTTTCTATAGTTTTATTTTATTTTATTTATTTGGCCAAATAACTTCTAAATCCAAAGTGGATATAAGATTTAGTGGCATATAAAACAAAATATAAAAAAAGAAGAATAAGAAGATTTGAGACAAAAATTCACACGTCTATGGGCTATAGGTCCATTCCCTATTTTTAATTTTCAAAAAACAGCTTTAATGGAATTTCTCAAACATACAACCTTGTGAGGCATTCCCAATACAATTAATTATAACTTGAGCTACATAGTTATTATTAATAATGACAGTAATTAAGTTAACATACCGTCTAATGTCTCGATATTGAGCTCGGAACCTTTGGCAAGAATGGATCTGCTCTTTTCAAAATCAAATTCAAAATCATTGTTCTCCTCGAATGGTAGTATCTGTGTGCTTCCATTTAATTTGTTTTTGCATCCTAATCTTGCTTTGAGCATAGTGGCTCCTCTTAGTGCTATAAAAAGTTTAAAAAAGAAGTGATACTAGCAAGTCCCAAATGCTAAAAGAATAAAATGAGGTCTTTTAATTACAAATATCATAATTCCCCTAATTAAAACCCATAATTTTTTAAATTTCTTATTTTTTGGGGTTATGCATAATGATATTTTTTGAGTTTAATGAATGGGTTAATTGTCCCCCAACTTAATAATATATATATATATATATATATTTTTTGATCGGCAAAACGAAGACTATATTGATGAATTATAAGAAAAATTACATCAATAAAAAGGAGCTTGGAGCTAAAACAAGCTCCAACCTCCTAGTTGGTGAGAAACCAACAAGCAAAACAAACAAAGAAAAAAACCAGTAAAATCAGAAAAAAGGCACTGCAACTCTTAAACCAGAACAGACAATACAACACACTTAAAGGCACCAAACAGAATAGGCACTACAACATCCCTACCAAGCACCAAAGCAAAACAACAGCCCTTCGAGCCCCAAAACAGAACAAGTGGATCAGATTTTCCTTGAACTACATTACCATGAATTACAACCGCCCAACAGTCATACCAAACACACTACCTTGAAGTACAATAGCCCACCATCCAATCCAAGCACCAAGATTATTTAAATCAACACAGCAGCAAAATAGATCAACTCAGATCAGACACAACAACACACGACCATGAGCAACTTGGAGCATGTAACACATCAGCATAACAGAGCAGGCACCACAGAACAATACATCAGAATAGAACACCCTCCGAAACAATTGCACCAGAACAGAAACAACACCCAAAAACAGCAGTACACAGGTTTACACCCTCAGTGCATGATGCAAAATTTCACATTTTGCAAATTAAACACCAAATCACCAACTGAATAACAAGAGGAAGGACTAGAGGCTCTGAACCACAATGCAATCTGTGTTTTGATAAGATCACACAGCTTTTCGAAATCCAAATGTGACTTGTTAAAAATGATTTCATTCCTCTGCTTCCATAAAGACCAAAGCACTACTAGTGGTATTATCTTCCAGATTACCTTCAATCTGTTGTTGCATCTAAACCCAGTCCACCATTGAATAAGACCAACCACTGACCCCGGCTGCACCCAAGATACACCCCACCATCCAATAATGTTAGACCAAACTCTCTAACTAAACGTACAACACAGCAGCACATGAGACACAGTTTCCCTTTCATTCCTGCAGAAAACACAGTTAACATCAGAGTTGGCACTCAGGATTCCAATTCTTTGCAAATAAGTAGAAGTCTTGATCCTCCCTTTCCACGCTAGCCAAGTAAAAAATTGCACTTTCGGAGGTGCAACATTCTTCCAGATGAGATCCACCACTTTTGCAGGCATGGTAGATGGTAACTCACTCCACTTGTAGGCAGACGAAACAGTAAAGATACCAGATCTGTCAGCAGCCCAACGCAACCCATCTAACACACCATTCCTGAACTGTGGAGCAGTTTGTAGCAACTCCTTCATCCTCCTCAACTCTTCAAGTTCCCATTGAAACAATGCTCTTTTGAAAGACAAAGCCCACTCCTCATCTCCATTGCTCCTGCTCTTAATCACTGCCACTGATATACCTTTATGCATAAACACAGAGAATAGTCTAGGAAATAAATTCTTTAAATAGTCACTACCAACCCATTGATCCAGCCAAAAACTTACGAGCCTCCTCTCCCTAATATTAATCTTTGAGTTGGCCTTAAAGAACTCCAGCAACCCTGGACACTTAAAAGCAACCCTCAAAATACCCCTCCACACCATAGAATATCTGGAATTTGCATCTTGATCTAGCCACCTAGATCCACCATTCTGTGGGTACTTGCTAAGAATCACTTGTTTCCAAATAGAGTCAGATTCACTCCCAAACCTCCACCACCATTTGAGAAGAAGGCATTCATTCATGATTCTTACCTTTCTAATACCAAGACCCCCGTTACTTTTGCTTTGAGTGATTTCCTCCCACTTAACCATATGAATTTTCCTCCTAAGTTCATCACTCCCCCCACAGAAATCTGGACTGAATCCTATCAATCTCTTTGGCTACCCCTTCAGGTATTCTAAATAAAGATAAGTAAAACACTGGTAGAGAAGATAGCACAGACTTGATCATTGTCAACCGATCGGCGAAGGAAAGAAGCCTACGCTTCCAGGAAGCAAGTTTTGATTTGAAATTATCAATGACAAGTTGCCAAGACCTTTTCCTCCTTGGATTAGGAGATATGTTATTGATCTAAGTTTAGGATATGTTGCATTTATCCCAATAATATCACACTCAACCAAGTATTGATTGAACACATTCTACTATAATCTAACAATAATCAAATAAACACAAACACAAGAAATCTAGTCAAATAATTGTGCTTAAACACAGACACAATAGCTCCAAATAGTTCATGCTAGTAAACATGAAACATATGTGAGATTGACAACAACCAAAGGGCAGTATAGACGACACAAAACAAACAACAAATAATCAATGTCAAGAAGCCGAGTCCTGTCTTTTCCATGAGCCTAATTTTTGCTCTCTTTCTCTAGGAATCATTCTAATAAAAAGGGAGTTCGGATCCTCCATGTTTAAAATATTAAATCTTTTGCA